GTTTAGCACCTGTGACCTAAAAGTACAGGGTTCGAGACTCCTGCTTTGGATGTTTGTATTTTCAAATTTTTATAGTTTTTGAGCAGGCATGCTCGCTTAGAGATTTCCTTAAGACTCATTCTGTTTCTAACATCTGAAAATGTGTTTACATCCATCCATCCATTCCATTTCTTTTCCAGCTTACTCCCTTTATTAAACTGGGGTCACCACAGCGGAATGAACTGCCAACTATTCCCACATGCTTTTTACACAGCAGATGCCCTTCCAACTGCAACCAATCACTGGGAAACACCCATACACACTCATACACTACAGCCAGTGTAGTTGATCAGTTCCCCTATAGCGCATGTGTTTGGACTGTGGGGGAAACCGGAGCACCCGGAGGAAACCCACACCAACACGGGGAGAACATGCAAACCCCACACAGAAACACCAACTGACCCAGCCGAGACTCTAACCAGAGACCTGAGTGCTGTGAAGTTTCTCTATTGTAATCGAATGTATTTGAGGTTTGATGGAGCTTGAAGGATTCTGGAAAGAATTGTTCCATGTGGTCTGTTTTTCTGTCTCTGTGATAGGCAGACTTACGGATTCATCTCAGTGCACCTGAGGCCAGGATCTGTCGGCAGGTGGGTCAGCGTGCTGGCTCCTCCCCCTCCCGGCGGCAGCGTGTGCTCTCAGCCGCCCCCTTGCACCCCGTGCTCGCCAGGCCTACGCGCCCGAGCCCATGCCCCCAGTTCCACGTGGTCCTCCAACGCCATGTGTGTCCCGCACACTATGGAGGCGGGCAAGCACAGCGCCAGCCAAGGACAGGGAAGCTGCGGTGGCGTTCCCCTGGAGCCGTTCATTCACCAGGTGGGCGGTCACACCAGTATGATGCGTTATGACGACCACACCGTCTGCAAACCTCTCATCACCCGCGAGCAGCGCTTCTATGAGTCCCTGCCACCAGAGATGAAGGAGTTCACCCCTGAGTACAAAGGTAAGACCCATTATTATTATAGACTTGCTGGCACGTGTACCTTCTTAAAACTGGAGACATCATTAATATGTTGAACAGCTTTGCATGGTTGAATGTGTGGGGGAATGGCATTACGGCCAAGCAATATAAATATTTAATGTGCAAACCAAAATCACAATACATTTTAATATCAAACTACAGTAGTTAATTTGCAATACACAATATTTTATAATATACATCGAATCTTAACTAGTATCAGATTTACAGATGTTTTAAAGGTTTTCTGAACCACTGCATAATCCAGCTCCATTCATAAACCACATCATGTGCAGTGATCAAGGTCTCCTCTTTGTCTCGTAGCACAGATTGTAAAGCTAATATATAAATGAATTAGCCATTTCCCCAGTGGTGAATGCCCCTTAACACAGCTGGCCTGTATTAGGCATTGTGAACTGAGGCTGTATGGTGGACACTCCTGTCTTTTCGTATCTGTCCTATGTTGACTTCTCGCTCGCCTCCCCCAAAGCATTCCTCATTCCAGATTCACAGCATACCTTCCATATGAACCAGTTCCACTCTGAGATGTGATGGGGCTAACACATGTCATTCATCTGTAACATCCACTGGCTATTTTGGGCTGTGCTGGAGGAGCATTGAAGCTCGCTATTTTCCTCCTCTATCACAGCAATGATTATAAATAGACCCGTGCTGATGAATCACATGGCATTGTTTTGAAATGTCAACAGACTGGGACGATTGCAGTTTTAACGATTGTTATCCATGAGACATTATAATTTAATAAGGGTTTAAATGTGTTACAGAACTGTGAGGGGTTTCAAAATTAAAGCTGCCATGTTAAAAGAAAAGTTTCCATTTATTTTGCAGTGTTTTAGATTAGGGGTGTGACGAGACGCTTACTCCACGAGACGGTGCATGAGAGTGAGACTTCAATGATGAAATATATGAAAGGAAAATGGTCTTTTATTCCACTGAAAAATAAATAAATCACAAACTGCAAAACTATTCAGGTGCTTTTTAAATCTATGTAAAGAATGTTATTTTACTTCTATTTTAATGAATTCTGTGCTGTAAAGGGCATGCACACATGCTATATGAATGGAAAATAGTGTTTATATATTATTGCAAATATTAGCTAAATAAATAAGTATTTTATTCAACTGAAACAATCCAAAATGCAAAACAATTAAGGTGCATTTTTAAATCGACTTGTAATGGATGTTATTTTACTTCCATTTCAATGAATTATGCCATAAAGGACGTGCAAACACTGCTAAATACTGCCTGGACAAACTCAGAGCTGCGAGTTTGAAGTATGGACTGAAAGCAGAGAGCTGCTTCAATGAAGTTTGACAGCGCATGCTGAGTGAAAGGAAAACAATCGCGATTGGAAACGTTGTGATTCGCTAACAGCAAGAGGCTGCATAATGAAATGTGTATTATTTAATTTCCCCCACAAATGCGTGCATGCCGTCTGTGTGTGACAGACCTACTAGCCAATTGAGGGAGCACACTTCTGTTCTGCCCAATGAAAATTGAGCAACCAAACTATGTGGAACGCCCACAAACAAACAAACAAACAAACAAACAAACAAACAGGAAAGCGCAGACGAGTGAGATGATGGTGTCTGCTGCCAGAAGCATTAATAGACAAACTAATATCACAGAAAAACACATCAGTAATATGGGAGTGTTTTTATTTTAAAGTCACACAAGATTTCAGTTGAATGTTTTGATAACTTTGTATAATTTGTGTGCATTCACGGCTCACGATGCAGGTATGTGACTGATCGTAATGTACTATAAAAGGATCATTTGTCCTTAAATGTTCAGTTATATACAGATGCATTAGTGGCAGAATCTTACAGCGGTTCACTGATATGACTTTAAGGAGAGCTTATGACCTACTACCTATGGTTTGCTGTAAGAACATGTTAACAAATGAAGTTTGCCTGAATAAATCTGTGAATGTCAGGATGCTGTGCAGTTTATGAAATCTTGCTGGATTTGACATCATGCTGCCGTGTTGACTGCATTAACCAAGGCAACACCAGCATTTCTGCAGTTCTACAGGCGCTGACCTGCTCAATAAGCTAGATTTGATAGATGTGTATTCAGTACATGAATGAAGGTTTAGTTTTGGATTAATTTCTTACATTAATATTTGGTAAATACACTGTATATTAAAATCTTTCCAGTGTTTCTGGTTGAAAAGTGGTTATAAGGTCTTAAAATGCTTGGAAAGTCTTAAAAAAGATCTTAAAAGGTCTTGAATTTCACTCTCTGATTCCTGTATATACCCTGTAAAAGCTGTGAATGGAAGAAATGTGATTAAATCTGTCTCAGAGGAAACTGAAGCTATAGTCATGGTGAAGCATGCTGAATGTGCATAAGTAGTCCAGTATGAGGAAAAGCAATTGAAGACTTTTGATTTATTCAACAGAAAAGCTGCAGAATTAATATGTAAAGCTCATTAACACTGGTGCAAATTCTGTTTTTGACCATTCTAACACAACATCTTGATCATTCGACAGGTTTTGTTTTCTTCCTGGTGAATTCTCCAGCTTCAGTCTTTTTCAATTCAGTTCCTCTTTATTTCTAATGCACTTTTACAATGTAGATTGTGTCAAAGCAGCTTCACAAAGTTCAGTAAATGTGAAGTGTCAGTCCAGTGTTCAGAGCTGCAGTGTGCTGTAATCTTCACTGCTGAAACACTCAAGAGCAAATCCATCCATGCACAGCGAGTCCACAAAGTCCCCAAACCAAGCAAGCTTTGTGTTTCTGCTTTAATATATTGTCACTGATATATTTTCCCATTGCACACTATATTCAGTATCCACAGACATACAGTAAACTACTACATGCATACTGTACTGAATATATGAATATAAATAATGAGATGTAGACTTTTCTTCATGCCGTGTTGATCAAGATCTTCTTCTGCTTAAACTGTACACCATATCAAGCTCCACATCTCGTCCTTCTCACCTTCTTACTTCCTCTCTAGATCAGCCAGTCGTTCAACATCTTCTCTCTCTGCCAAACAAGCTCAGATGTAGCCCTGTAATGCTGATCAAACAGAGCTCTTCCTGAATTAGCTCATTAGGCGTCATCACAGTCTTCATTCATGAGCTCCGGTTGCTGGGCTGACATCACTGAGGACGGATCACAGAGCTAAAAATTAGCTTCAAGAGCGATGCATGATGGGATTATTATTCAGCTCTCAGCGCCAGCCCCTCCTGCTTCCCTCTGTGGAGGCTATGGAGGTAAAAAAGTGACTACACATCCCAATTCTGACTTTAAAGAGCTGATGTTAAACCTCACAATATGATAAGGGTTTGTTCTGTAATCTAATTCATGTGGAGATTTGTTTAAATGAGCTTTATTGAGAGTTACTTAGCAAAAGGTGTTTCTAAAATGATCATTTATTTAATCACCTTCACACCCTTACCTCCGAGACATCAACTTCCAGAAAACTGTTATAAACAGTCCTCAGCAGAGACGGAGGTTAACGGATGTGTGCAAATGCGTGGCTTGGTTTCTGATTTGTTCTAAACTGCAGGCACAAAGAGGCACAAGAACAATCGTGTAAACTGGAAGCACTTGCCCAAAGTAAAAGCACTCTGCAGCAACAGTGCTTAAATCTGAAGGAGACGCGTGTGCAGTGTGTTTACGGCATGCCGAGATGTTTTCAGCTCACTACACAGCATCACTTCTGTATTTACTATTCAAAAGCTGGTTGCGTCTGCATTACTATCCAAAACCTAGAATGAGTGGAGTCTTATATCGAAAACACATCATCCTTTTAAAGCTTTTGTTCAAGGTTTTTTAAAGAGCTCCTATTCTGGGTTTTTGAGAATGATCTTCATGCGGTGTGTAACACAGCTCTGAGAGAAGTGAAATATTCAGCTCAGGCTTAAATCTGAAAGAGAAACTATTGA